TCAATCCATTATGGTTCTTAGTTTCCATACTTCAGTGTCTTAATTCCTCCTGAGAAAGCAGGGAAAGGGCAATTTGGTGGCACTAAGAAAATTATTGATACTGTTGTTAAATATACAATTTACACAGTTTTACAAAACAAAAGGATGGATATTAATGGGTTGATTTAGTAAATGAGTCAGTCTTACCCAATCAAGCGCACAGAATGGTTTAAAAAAATGAAAGGAAATTTTTGCATATAATTGCTTGTTTGAAGCAAATCAGTGAGAAAGCAAAATAGCGTGAGAGTGATCATTTTACATACCAGCACAGAGAAGTGCAAAAAACCCTGGGCTTTTATAGAATAAACATAAGGATATGAACATTAGGTTGTTGCCAATAGTATTTCTTAATATGCACCACAAAAATTGACAGTTAGCTTTGTAGCTGCTGTGAGCAGCTGAGACACTTTCCGTTTCTAAGTATTGTTATACTAAAACTATGTACCAGTTAAAAATGTTAAGTGCTTTGATATTCAAGATGAACATCAGGGAGCTGTTACCACTTATCTAACTTAAATTGTATCACGAAAAACACTTTAGAAGCTTACAAGATGTGACTTTTAAGAAGAAGAGAGTGGGGTTGTTATTTGCATTTTATAAAAACACAAAACTACATCAACTCTTGCCAAAACTATAACTCAGCAACATGACTGTGATATGTCTTTCATCTGGTGTCGGACAACTGAGGATATAGTTTTGAACTGGAGAAGCCAAGATAAGAAAGTCAATCATCAAGCACTTTTTGCATGTTTGAACTTGTTCCATATTCCCTTGAGGGACCCAGTTTACAGTCACAGGTTCCAGATTATATTAAGTCAACTTCTTGTTCTCTACCTTCAGTTTCCATCTATCTATACAAATAAAAACATGTTCAACATTCATAGACTACAACTGTTTATTGTTGTGTACTAGGAATATGCTTCGCGTTGAACATGAGTTCGACCCAAACATAGCCTGTTCGCAGTTCAACAAAAGGGTGAACAAACTGGCCAAATTTGGCTGGTTCATCCCCCTGCCCGGATTTCCAGCTTATGTAGCTAGAAATCTGTCATTTAGAAGTGGTAGCACTACTGCCACTAAATGACATATGGCTTCTGTTTGTAAACAAGCCAGCAGGGATGCTTGGTGACATCATTGACATAGTATGGAACCCCGCTGCTGAGTTCACATTCCAGCAGCACTGAGAATCTGTCATTTGCTATTGTAGTAGCAGTGTGTGAAGATCATCGGAGACGGCAAGTTAATGTGATGGTTGGTCAACATCTTCAGGTGTCATCGTGACTGACATGGATCTCCATTGCTGATTGAAGTGATTGATGTTAGATTTAGATTGACGTACAATAATTAATTTTCAAATAAACAATTTATTTCATTACAGGGGTGTTTGTATTCACTATTCACATTTTTTTAACATGAAACTCATTTACCTGGGGCGGGGTGAATATCCGGATGTTCCCTTATTCTAAAAGGGACTTCCCAGTTCTGATAAGTTCCCTCCCCCTACAGCCCTTTCTGCATAAAATGTGGAGATAACTGGGACCCGCTTATTTTAAAGGTGGCTTCTAGATTCTGATAGGTCCCCCCCCACAAACCCACACATTCATATAGGGATGAGCAGCCAGATAATACACCTTTTTGGTTATGTGGTCTTTTAGTAAAGTCTCCAGTATCTTCCCAACTATAGAAGTTACTTGGTAAAGATTTTGATCCCTTTTAAAATATAGGCACCACATTGGCCTTACACCAATCCAGTGGTACTATGTCAGTCATTAAAGAGTCTCTAAAAACTAGAAACAAAGGCTTTGAAATGACAGAGCTCAATTCTTTAAGGACCCGTGGGTGTATGCCATCCAGTCCAGGTGCTTTATTCACCTTTATTCTGTCTAAATATTTCTGGATCATATCAGTTTTGAGCCAATGTGGATCATCTGGAGCTGTGTCAATACCATGCCCCTTATGGACAAGAGTTTCCCTATGCTCCTTTGTATACAAAGAGCTGAAGAAAGTATTTAATAAATTTGCTTTCTCTTTGTCCCCAGTCACCCACTCTAGATTATTTTGTAAAGGGCATACATGCTTGGACCTGACCTTTTTATTATTAGTATATTTGAAGAAATTTGGAGAGGGTTTGTCATGCAAGGTTTGTCATGCAATTGTTTGCAATTTGTCGTTCATTTTCAATTTTTAGGAGCATCACTCCTCCTAATTGGGGCCTCTATGAACTGTACCATAAAATTCTCCTGTAGTAGGTTTATACATTTTTGCCCTTTAACTGTTCCTGCAGTACCATTACTCCAGTCAATTTCTGGGTGGTTAAAATCCCGCAATATTATCACTGTCCCATCCCTTGCAGCTCATCTGTGCAAGGAGCTGAGTCTCCACCCTCCTCATTAACATTGGGTGACCTATAACAAACTCCAACAATTACCTTTGTAGTATGCACCCCATGTGCAGTTCCACCCATAATGCTTCAGTCTCATCACACTCTCCATCAACTAGGTCCTCTTTCACACTCGCTCTGAGATCACTTCTCACATAGAGACAAACACCACCACCCTTTCCTTTTTACCCAGTCTCTCTGAAAGAGAACATAGCCAGGAATATTAATGGCCCAGTCGTGTGAAGAATGAAGCCAAGATTCAGCAATACCAATATATCATAATTCTCTTCATTCACCAAAGCTTCCAACTCACCTATTTTGCTTAACAGACTTCTGGCATTGGTGAACAAACACTTTAATGCAGTGACACCTTGTGCACACGTATTTTGTTTTGTTTTTTTTTTTTTTTCATACAAATGGTACCAATTCCAATGGCTGTTTGTAACATGGGAACCTTCTTATCACCTGACATAGCCCTCCCCCCATTTTTCCCCATTCCACCCACCAATAATGACTGACCCTTGTCTGATCTGCCTGCCCCAATATAATCTAATTCTCTCCCCCCCCTCGATCCTAGTTTAAATAATCCTCCAGTCATCCCGTAAACCTCTCCCCAACACAGCAGATCCCTTTTCATTTAGATGCAAACCATCTCTAGCATATAGAGATGTCTTAAATCTCTTTTGTCCCATTAGGCAAGGAATCCTATAAGGAACTCCTGCATTGTCCAGGACCACAGGATATGCAGGAACAGTGTATGGATAGAGATTTGTAGATATGCATCTAAGAGATCAACTGATAGCATTCAATCCTCTCTACAAATGGTGTGAATAATAGACTGAAATGACTACATACAAAAGGATGAAACTTGGATGCATTTGTTGAGAGACTAAGTCTAGGATTAATCTTAGGGCACCTGTCTTCTTCTTTACCAAAAGAGGGGACAGTAGAAGACACAAAATATTTCTGTTTGTGGAACTGATCAAATAGTCCCTCTTTTGAAGTAGCATCTGAAAATACTTGATGAAGGTATGAATTTTTTCTTCATGTGACCGGAGTTGTCTGGACAAAATGATTCAGAGGGGGACAAGACTTGAAAGCCCAAAAATTACCTTTTGAAATAGTGAGATCACCCATGTATCTTTGAAAGTATTCATTCACACCCGAGCAAATGCCTGAAGATGGGCAACCATCAGAGGGAAGCGGACAATCACACCATCAAAAGATTGATTGGGTGTATGTTTGGTTCTATCTCTGAAAAGGTCTTCCCTCAGTCAGTTGCCTCTGGCTGTGAATTTTTCTGTCTTGAGGCAGTAATATGGCAAGCCTACATCATAATTGAGGCATCCTCATGAAGGAGGGAGTGCTCACATTAGAGATCTCAGTTTCTTTGAGAGGGTATAGGTCTAATAGCCTACTGGCTTGGACTTTTCTTCAACTTTTTTCATTCAGTTGTGATAACTCTTGTATCGCTTTCATGTATGGATAGGAGACACTAGATATCTTTAAATGGGGGTAATATTGCTGTACTTTGTAGGTTCTTCAATGCAGTCCTCCCAATGTGCTCTTTAACTGCTGCCCCAAACAGCTCTATAAAGCTGAATTTGAATCCTGTGGGCTTTGGTTCTTCTAAGTAATCCCTATGATGCCCTCCAGAAGCTTCCTCTGATGGAGCCTTTAACTGTCACGTATAAAGTTGCCAGCACTTGGTCACAACTACTCTCAGGTAGGTACGATTGACAATCCAATTTTCCTGGAAGATCATGATGGCCACAGACCCTGTAAGAAATCTTATCAGGGAATATGTACTGTGAATGCGAATTAAAGCTGCGTCTCTGCTGGTAAGAATGTAAATGATTGTGCCTGTGAAAATTATGGCATCTGGAAGAAGGTGATATGCATCTCGATACATGCTAATCTTTGCAGGAGGGCCGGAAAATCATAACATTGTTATGAAGTATGTTCCAATCTCCCATTCTGTTTTTTTTCTTTTCTCTTTTTACTTACCCTACCCTTACCTTTTAGAGGAGGAAGTGTGTTATTTGGCAATACTGTACATCATGATAAAGAAGAAGGAAAAATAATATGGGTTAAAATGTGTATGCAGAAAGAAAGCTATCAGCAGAAAAGGTAAATCCACTCACTCAGAGTGCAGATGCAAGAGAGAAGCGGAAGAGGATCCTAGGGCAAGGGCAGCAGCATAAGGAGGAGGCCAGTAGGGTAAGGTAAAAGCTGGCAGACCCAATTTTCCAAGCAGCATAGGGGCAGGCAGGCACCCATCTGCCCTTATGTTTAGTGTACAGGACTATGTCAAGAGAAGCTCTGCCCCTCCTGGCCTGTCGCTGAGCGCATGTGTGCAGTAGACACAAGCAGCTTGGCTGCCACCTTGGCCAAGAGCATAAGCAGGAGCCACAGGAGATATAGAATAGAAACAAATAATGGAGACTCAACTTGGCTGTCCCACGGAAAAAAACAAGGTGAAAAAATTAAAACATTCTATAGAAAAGAGATAACTATAAGTCTACAGAGGGACAAAAAATGCAATATGATGCCTAACTAAAAATTGGTTATTGCATGTTAATATACACTATAATTCTAAAAGTATTGGGATACCCCTCCAAATCACTGGATTCAGGTGTTCCAATCACCTCCATGGCCACAGGTGTATAAAATCAAGCACCTAAGCATGCAGACTGCTTCTACAAACATTTGTGAAAGAATGGAACGCTCTCAGGAGCTCAGTGAATTCAAAAGTGGTATTGTGATAGGTGCCATTTGTGCAATAAATCCATCCGTGAAATTTCCTTGGTACTAAATACAGTGGGGCAAAAAAGTATTTAGTCAGCCACCTATTGTGCAAGTTCTCCCACTTAAAAGATGACAGAGGCCTGTAATTGGCATCATAGATAGACCTCAACTATGAGAGACAAAATCAGAAAAAAAAATCCAGACGATCACATTGGCTGATTTGGAAAGAATTTATTTGCAAATTATGGTGGAAAAATAAGTATTTGGTCAATATCAAAAGTTCATCTCAATACTTTGTTATATATCCTTTGTTGGCAATGATAGAGGTCAAACGTTTCCTGTAAGTCTTCACAAGGTTGGCACACACTGTTGCTGGTATGTTGGCCCATTCCTCCATGCAGATCTCCTCTAGAGCAGTGATGTTTTGGGGCTGTCGCTGGGCAACATGGACTTTCAACTCCCTCCAAAGGTTTTCTATGGGGTTGAGATCTGGAGACTGGCTAGGCCACTCCAGGACCTTGAAATGCTTCTTACGAAGCCACTCCTTTGTTGCCCGGGAGGTATGTTTGGGATCATTGTCATGTTGGAAGACCCAGCCACGTTTCATCTTCAATGCCCTTGCTGATAGAAGGAGGTTTGCACTCAAAATCTCAAGATACATGGCCCCATTCATTCTGTCCTGTACATGGATCAGTCGTCCTGGTCCCTTTGCGGAGAAACAGTCCCAAAGCATGATGTTGCCACCCCCATGCTTCACAGTAGGTATGGTGTTCTTTGGATGCAACTCAGCATTCTCTCTCTTCCAAACACAACGAGTTGTGTTTCTACCAAACAGTTCTATTTTGGTTTCATCTGACCATATGACATTCTCCCAATCCTCTTCTGGATCATCCAAATGCTCTCTAGCAAACTTCAGACGGGCCGGACATGTACTGGCTTAAGCAGGGGGACACGTCTGGCACCGCAGGATCTGAGTCCCTGGCGGCGTAGTGTATTACTGATGGTAGCCTTTGTTACGTTGGTCCCAGCTCTCTGCAGGTCATTCACTAGGTCCCCCCCGTGTGGTCCTGGGATTTTTTCTCACAGTTCTTGTGATCATTTTGACCTCACGGGGTGAGATCTTGCGTGGAGCCCCAGATCGAGGGAGATTATCAGTGGTCTTATATGTCTTCCATTTTTGAATTATTGCTCCCACAGTTGATTTGTTCACACCAAGCTGCTTGCCTATTGCAGATTCAGTCTTCCCAGCCTGGTGCAGGTCTACAATTTTGTTTCTGGTGTCCTTCGACAGCTCTTTTGGTCTTCACCATAATGGAGTTTGGAGTGTGACTGTTTGAGGTTGTGGACAGGTGTCTTTTATACTGATAACAAGTTCACACAGGTGCCATTGATACAGGTAATGAGTGCAGGACAGAGGAGCCTCTTAAAGAAGAAGGTACAGGTCTGTGAGAGCCAGAAATCTTGCTTGTTTGTCGGTGACCAAATACTTATTTTCCACCATAATTTGCAAATAAATTCTTTCCAAATCAGCCAATGTGATTGTCTGGATTTTTTTTCTCATTTTGTCTCTCATAGTTGAGGTCTACCTATGATGCCAATTACAGGCCTCTCTCATCTTTTTAAGTGGGAGAACTTGCACAATTGGTGGCTGACTAAATACTTTTTTGCCCCACTGTATTCCACGGTCAACTCTTAGTGGTATTATAACAAAGTGGAAGCAACTGGGAACAACAGCCACATAAAATGATAGAGCAGGGTCAGCGCATGCTGAAGCGCACAGTGTGCAGAAGTCACCAACTGTCTGAAAAGTCAATAGCTAGACCTCCAACTTCATGTGGCCTTCAGAGTAGCACAACAATGCATAGAGAGCTTCATGGAATGGGTTTCCATGGCTGAGCAGCTGCATCCAAGCCTTATATCACCAAGTGCAATGCAAAGCGCCAGATGCAATGGTGTAATGCTCTAGAGCAGTGGAGACGTGTTGTCTGGAGTGACAAATCAAGTGCAGACTGTGAGCCAGGCCTTCTCATCTGACATCAGTGCCTGACCTCACAAATGCACTTCTGGAAAAATGGTCAAACATTCCCATAGACAAGAATGGGTCGCTCTTAGGAGCTCAGTGAATTCAAGCATGGTACCGTGATAGGTTGCCACCTGTGCAATAGGTCCATCCGTGAAATTTCCTTCCTACTAAATATTCCATGGTCAACTGTTACTGGGATTATAACAAAGTGGAAGCCACTGGGAACAACAGCAACTCAGCAACAAAGTGGTAGGCCATGTAAAATGACAGAGCTGGGTTAGCGCATGCTGAAGCACACAGTGCAAAGAAGTTGCCAACTGTCTGCAGAGTCAATAGCTAAAGACCTCCAAACTTCATGTGGCCTTCAGATTAGCACAACGGTGCATAGAAAGCTTCATGGAATGGGTTTCCATGGCCGAGCAGCTTCATCCAAGCCTTACATCACCAAGTGCAATGCAAAGCGTCGGAAGCAGTGCTGTAAAGCACACCTCCACTTGACTCTAGAGCAGTGGAGACATGTTTTCTGGAGTGACAAATCACGCTTCTCCACCTGGCAATCCAATGGATGTGTCTGGGCTTGGTGGTTGCCAGGAGAACAGTTCTTGCCTGACTGCATTTTTCCAAGTGTAAAGTTTGGTGGAGGAAGGATTATAGTGTGGGATTGTTTTACAGAGGCTGGGCTTGGCCCCTTAGTTCCAGTGAAGGGAATGGCCCCTTCCTGCTCCACCATGACTGCTCACCAGTGCACAAAGCAAGGTCCATAAAGACATGGATGAGTGAATCTGAGGTGGAGGAACTTGACTGGCCTGAAGAGAGTCCTGACCTCTACCCGATAGCACACCTTTGGGATGAATTAGAGTGGAGACTGCAAGCCAGGCCTTCTCATTTGAAATCAGTGCCTGATGTCAAAAATGTGCTTCTGGAAGAATGGTCAAACATTCCCAAAGACACACTCCTAACCCATGTGGACAGTTTTCCCAGAAGATTTGAAGCTGTTATAGCTGCAAAGGTTGGACCAAATCAATATTAAACCCTACTCGCTAAGACTGGGAAGCCATTAAAGTTCATGTGCGTGTAAAGCCAGACGCCCAATACTTTTGACACTATAGTGTATGTCAAGCAACTGCATGGAATTGGAGAAGCTAATGTATTGCCTCCACTATTGTGAATATAGGTGTTAGGGAATTGATTATTTAGATGTCTTTCTAGTGTGTTTCATTGCGGTGTATTTAGGGTAATTTCTCATTTAGTGTACTTTGTATTTGTGTTTTTGCCCTTTATTGTATATGTGATTATCATTTCACTACTTATTTTTCTGTTAAAAAAGTAGGACAATAAGGGCAACAGGGTGTTCAAGAACAGGTCCGAAAGAGTAAAATGGACCTTGCATAACTTTCAGAAGCCAGTTAAAGCTCATGGCACCCTTAAAAACCATATAAAACTATCTAGCCTTCCCCCAAAATGGCAATAGTTTTGCAAAAAAGTCCAGATTCTCCTTCAATATTAAGGAAATTAAAAGGCTCAATTTCGCTCATCCCTAACAGCGAAAGTAGGAGTATTATTTATTTTCCCATATGCCCACAAATGTAATCTTATAAAAAATGTACCACCCAAGAATTATTGCTTTGTCATATCTTGATAACGTAATAGTTGCCCTCTCTAAACTACTAACCATAGATGTTAAAAAGAATGTCAAAATCACAGCAGTTGCATAGGAAGTGAAGATTGACAAAATAAGGGGAAGTGGCTTCTATAAAAAACTTAGACAAGTGGAAGAGTGAATAGGGGCATCGAAGAGTAATAAAAATATGCATTTACATACACCACAGCTAAGGGATTGGTTATAGCTCAGAGCTCCTGATCTGGAAACATAGATTACATGGTTCAACACAATGCTCTAACCTGTTCCATATGTAATTTTTCCTCGTTTACAAATGTGGTGTCAGAATTTTTCTATCACCCATACTTCCAGAGTTATGCTCTAGTAAAGTTTGTACGTTACTGTAAATTAGCCATTACAGTTTTGTTTGGGTAGAACAGAGGTTTAATACGAAAAATTCCGTTGTTGTATGTTGTCAGCCACAACCAAAAATGCTGAGTCATGTATTTATAATTACCTGGCCCCTTGCCCTAATGGCCTGGATGATACAAGCAAAAATGCTGAGTCATGTATTTCTGTGTGAGTGGGAAAGTAGGGACAGGAGAAATCATTACATCCGGAAACAGTGGCTAAAGAGAACATCACTAGTCCCAGGACAGAAAAATGTTGCACATGACCCACTTGTGGAGCCAAATAAAGTATATCTACCTCCACTTCATATAAAGTTGGGTCTTATGAAGAACTCTAAAAATGATGGATAGAAGTGGACTTGGATTTGCACATCTAAGAAAGACATTTCCAAGGATCAGTGAAGCGAAGATCAAAGAAGGGATCTTTGTAGGACCTGACATTAGGAAACTGATGAAAGATGAAAACTTTGATGGTCAGTTGAATGAAACTGAAAGAGCAGCATGGGAGTCCTTTAAGACTGTTTGCTGAGACGCCTTGGGAAATAACAAGGTAGACAACTACGCAAAATGATTTATGTATTCTACAGAAATCTTACCAGAAACTGGGATGTAACATGTCTTTGAAAATGCACTTCTTGGATTTACACCTGGATTTTTTCCCTACAGATCTAGGAGCAGTCAGTGATGAACATGGGGACCGGTTTCATCAGGATATTTCAGATATATGGAAAATAGGTACCGGAGCAAGTGTAGCTCTAGTATGCTTGCAGGCTATTGTTGGACCCTTAAGAGAGATGTTCCTGAGGCGCAACACAGCAGAACATCATATACAAATACCTTTTAGAAGACTACTTTACAATATACACCTATATACGCATACTGTAAATATAAGCAACATAGTGTAAATTTCAACTGGATGCCACTCTAAAACATTACGTGATGGAGAATTTATAAGCAGATATCTGAGTTTGCAACCAAAAACAGAACTAGAATAACCCGTTCATTTCTGTGACGGGAACTTTTTTTGATTTTGTTTACCAGTGATTATTTACCAAAGTTTCTCTTTTCAGAAGGTGAAATAGGTCTGATATCCTAGGATGCAGACTACCAAATATTTAGAGCTACTCCGATCTAAATAAGTTAATTTTATCAATGTGTCCATAGAGGTATAAATTTAATTTCAAAGCATTTTTGGAGACATCGCTTATAATTATACAGGCCAGCATAAATCCAAAGCAAATTGAGTCAGACATTCAAATAGCATTGACTTTCATTAACTACAGAAAGCTAGTAAGCTTTCCATTAAAGTCTTCTTTAAGCGGTCCATTGACAAAGGTCAGCTTCCAATATGTTTTTAGATGTGGTCTCTTGGGAAAGGGAGTTTCTACTGTAACTACATGAACACAAAATAGTTGCTGTTGTTTTTGCTCTGCACAACTGATTGACTTAGTATTTGTAGCACATGTGGCTTGCAAGCAGTGTGTATCTGGGATTTCAAAATGTTTACCCTGGTAGACCACTGAGTTACCACTGTAAATACCTGCCCATTCCTGCTGTTCTGCAGAAATACTGTTTAGTGTGGCATAGAGTTGCAGGCCAAAGTGTCTTTCAGTATACCTGGCAATGACCTCAATCTGAATTTATCCTGAAACATTTCAGCCAAACAGTGTCATTTTTGTGATTTAAAGGACTCGTGTTTGACTCTGGTGGAAAAAACACTGATCACACTTTAACATTTTCAAGTATAATATTTTTGCAATCTTAGGGGCCAGCCAGCACTCTGTACTTATGAAAAATGGACAGCTTCAGCGGAAAAAGTAACTTTCACTTAGAAAAGTATGGAAAATTATTAAGGAACCATTGCTTAAGAAGCTGAAGTGAGCACAGCAAAGAATATGATGCAGTGTGTTTTGTAGAAATATGAGAAAATGTTAATTAATTCTATACTGAAAATAAGGTTTAAAATAAAAAAACTATTTAGCCACTGGGTTGGTTTATAAAACAGAAAAAAAGCTGTTATACATAAAAATAGTTAGGTATTACCTTTTATATAGCAAACACTTCTTGAAAAATAGTAACTATACATACAGTGTATATGTAGTTCCGCAAAAGCAAATCAGTAAATTATATAGACTCTATAATAAGAGGCAAAAGACTTTTAAATGTCTGAACAATCTACGTTTAGCAGTTCATAATAAAACTCTAGTCTAGAAGCTGTGGGAGATCATGGGAATTTGGGCACTGATGCAACTGTTCTCCCAATGACATTCCTTAATCAAGCGTGCATTTATAACAAAAGCAGCTGCACAATTATGCAATCCAATTACACTCATAGTATGTATGCATCAAGCTACTGCCTTTATTTTTATAATTTTAATATTCTTGTACTTATTGCATGTTGTACTGAACTCCAAGCACACATCACTCCTTTCTGCAGGCATACGGGTTCCTATGAATTGAAGTCTATGCCATGGCAAAAAAAAAAATCAGTACATCTCTGCAATACGTGTACATTTCCCATGTTTTATCCCTTAAAAGACCCTGCAAATGCAGAAAAGTACCCGTTGATTTGCCATAAATGCACTCATCTCCCAATTTTTGATTTAGGACTGACCGCAGATTTTTGTTGACTGAATGATGAATCCTTCCCACTGTCCTTATCTCCATTATGCTTCATTGTGTGGATGAAATAAAAGGCCAGTTCCTCTCATGGCTGGGATGACCATACCACATCTGTGACTGCAGGTCACTGCCCAGATGTAGAAGGCCCAATGCCAACTGCTATAACTGTTTCTTTCACATGAACACAGGGATCAACCCTAGAGTTAAAATAAATCCCCCCTAGGACATCCTCTGCTATCTATAGAATGTTTCTTTCATTTCCCTTGTACACACACACACAAAAGTAATGGAGCGCAAGTTTATTGGTATTTCCAAAGTAAAGTCCCTCACATCGCCATTAGTCCAGCCCTGGAGTGAAGCACCCAACAGTCAATACTGTCATGATGGGTCAAGGGATAGACAATGATTAGTCCATCCCTCACTGCACAAACATACTCCAAAAGGGTGCAAAGCGCCTTCTTTACTCAATCTCAAATTATCCCAGCTCACACCGACGAAAAATGTCCAATAAGTTCTGGGTTGCATTTCAACAATTTTACTTAACAAAACTTCTTCCTCTTACATAGGTCTCCCAGCAAAAAAGCTTGTACAAAGTTTCCAACATAAGTCTGTTTATTTTTATAGATAGTTGTACTCCCTAATGCACAACTGTTCAGACAAGTTCCCATTAAAGAGTAAAGCCATTTCTACTGCTTCTGCTGTTCTAAACCTTTCAAATATAAAGTAATTTGCCCATAAGGCGTTCCAGCTTACTGTGGCACATTGGTCTGATGCTGCAGCTGTCCCACACTCACTCTAAGCCTGAAAACTGAGCGATCATTTGACCGCTGATCACTCAGTTCTCAGTCAGCGTGGAGTGGAGAGTAGTGACTGTCAGTCACTGCTCTCCCATCTGTCTCACCAGCACTCATTGAGCATTGAACTGAAGAAGGGGTGAGTGCAGCTGGCCAAAGCCAGATCCAGTTGTTAATCAGGCAGCTGGGGTGGATCCCAACAATAT